ACGCCTGTAATCCCAGCACTTTGGGAGGCCAAGGCAGGCAGATCATCTGAGGTCAGGAGTTCAAGATCAGCCTGGGCAACATGGCACAACCTTGTCTCTACTAAAATTGCAAAAATTAGCAGGGCATTGTGGCGTACTCCTATAATTCCAGTTACTTGGGAGGCTGAGGCAGGAGAATCACTTGAACCTGGGAAGTGGAGGTTGCAGTGAGCCGAGACTGTGCCGCTGCACTCCAGCTTGGACAACACAGTGGAAAAAAAAGAAAAGAAAGCATACCCTTAGGACCAAGTCGGGTGGCTCATGCCTATTATCCCAGCACTTTGGGAGACCAAGGCACGTGGATTGCTTGAGGTCAGGTGTTTGAGACCAGCCTGGCCAACATGATGAAACCCTGTCTGTACTAAAAATACAAAAATCAGCCAGGTGTGGTGACGCATGCCTGTAATTCTAGCTACTCGCAAGGCTGAGGCAGGAGAATCACTTGAACCTGGAAGGCAGAGGTTGCAGTGAGCTGAGATTGTACCACTGCACTCCAGCTTGGGCAACAGAGTAAGACTCTGTCTCAAAAAAAAAAAAAAAAAAAAAGAAAAAGAAAAGAAAAGCAAAGCAGACCCTTAGGAGGAAGGGCCTCAGTCGACCTCCTTCCACCAGTGCTCGGTGGACCCCTTCCATTTGTGTATTAACATTGGAAGCACTGGAATGTTCCAAAAAAACAAAAAAGGATAAGCTATGGTAAAGCAGCTGGCAAGCTAAGCTGTGACAGCAACAGAGCCTCTATGACAGCATTTCAGAAGATCCTCGACACTTGTAACAACAGGGTAGACTGCACTAAAAATCAGGCCTAGGTTTTAAGAGTAAGGACAGCATTGCTTCAAAACCTCAACAAAACTCTGAAGTCAAAGTCAGGTCCTGATGGAAAGTGGGACACTAATACCTAGGATAAAGACATTTGGGTGGATAAACATGAGAATTTTGCATCCTGGATTCTCCTAATTCCCCAGGCTATCAGAAACAGTCTGTTCTTTAGCTGGAAGAGAGACACTTCAGCTGGCTTGGACCCCTTGCAAGAAGACCTAACCTGAGGCAGATGCCTCACAAATGACTCTCATCCTTAACATCTACCTCTGCCATCCGTCACTGCCTCCAGGCTCATACTGATAAACCAAGCAAGGTCTCAGCATAGCCCAGGGAGGGAAGTACCTTTCCTGCTCAAAGAGAAAATAGGTTACACACCAAAAGAATTACAGAACTAGGAATAATATGTCCAAACAGAAACCAAAGGAGTGCACCTTCAGGTTGTTGGAGCAGGGGAGTGGAACGTAAGGCTGAATAGATGACAATTACTGACATACTGGCACTAGCTCATGACTCAGATTCGATCTTTTGGCAAGAACATACCTGGAGCTGGTCCTAATAGCCTGCTGGGGATGGCTCTTTTAAAGCTTGAACACAAGAAACA